GAAATGCGTTTAGATTTTGTTAAAAAAAATGCTGACTCTATCTACCGATTATATTTTTTACATTTAAAAAGTATATTTTACTAAAATATTTTATAATGTTGCAAAATATATACATTCTTCTTTCATATACAGCATAAACTGCACTTTTCTGATAATTTCTATGATGTCTGTACTACTTTTTGATGAGTCCCTCACGTCGTGTAGACGGATGCAGTGCTCCACAGGCAGCTGCTTTACTTCACCCTTAAAGCTGCTCTAGTGCGTATAGTAGCGCTAATCTCTTACAGAGTATAACAGAACTTGTCAACTTCAAACAAGGTGTAACGATATGCTAATTCCACGCCTTTCTAAAGATGAATTTATATTCGTGTAAAGCCCCTGTCACACTATCAAACTTTATTCATTCAGCTATATTTGACAATAAAATTTGAGGACGAAATACGGCCTCAAGTTATTCCTTCCAACAAATTTTATCAAATTATCCAGAATGTGTTTGAATATTTGTCGCACTGTCAAATTGTGTTATTGTCAGAATCTAATTTGAAAAATTATTTATCAATTATTTTCATAGTGAGAAATAGCTTTTGTTTTCCATGCGGTCCATTACAGGAAGACATGTAAGTAATATTGTAATTTATGTTCGTTACTTTACTAAATAAATATTTTATTTATAAGATATGTTTCCCGCACAATGAAGTTCGTAATATTATGTACAATGTTCACTTAATATAATAGCATTCATGCCCAGACAGCTTCTACATAAATTAATTATCTTCATACCTTACTTCGTTTCCAGCAATTGTTCGTTATTTTAAGTTTCTTGACGTCCATTTTAGCCGTGCACGATTCTGATTGGCTGAGACCGTCCAACATCCAATACATTTTAGTACCGGTCCAATTTTCAAATGTTTGATTGAAACTGAAGCCATTCAACTTTCTCAGACAAAAGTGGTGGCATTTATTACGTTTCGATGACGTTATAACTGTCCAATTTTATTTGACCAAACTTATTGGAAGTAGTTGAACGGGAAAATTTGACAGTGTGACAGGAGTTTAAGGGCCATACACCTTAATTTAGGTTTCAGTGTACACCAAGGCAGGTAGCGTGCAATTTCTCGATGGAAGGTATCCCACTGCCGGAATATTATTTTTTTGTAACTTTCCCCGCCAACTAACCCATGTCTTGACTATTGTGGAAACGCAGCACACTTAGGCCGATGTCATACTATGCGTTTGTACCGCTGCGGCTAAACGGGATGCGGTTTTTACGGGATGGACACAAAACGTTGTTTCAAATGCGAGGTGTGACACCAGTGCAGCGTTCACTAGTTTCGCACCTCGCATTTACATCCATGTGTTGTGCCCACCTCGTCAAACTGGAGTGTTTTAGCCACGGCGGCGAAAACGCATAGTACGACACCGGCCTTACAAACTTCCGCTCCTTGCAGTTCAACGCAGTGGCGTGTGGTGAGTTGTTGCAAAGTAAGCTGGCGTTAGCTCAGTGCCGCATTACCCTGTTGCTTGCTAGTTTACACTTCCACCGGAAAAATAGCTCAGCAGTTGACGCCACAGGACGTGTATAATGACTGTAGAGCCACGAGTATTTCGCGAATTCATTCGGAGGCGAAATAGACTTCAAACTCTTTGTTCGTTTCTCCTGCTGTTGCGATTGGACGACGGATCTTCAGACACGCCCCGTTCAATTGTGAGCCGGTGATAAGCAGGAAACAGTAGCGTGAGTGAGCTTTAAACAGTACTGTACGATGTCCCAACTTGATCGTAGCAACCAATATAGTTTCTCGCGTATGTAACTGACTGCTGCCACAACAATTCGCGAAATACTCGGGCGCTGTAGAATGAGTCCCTCGCTGCTCGCTTGTGAGTGGTCGGAATGCTTTCACTTTCCCTATAGGCTGCACGGTGATTACTGGCTCCTGCTGCGTGCACTGATAACGTACAGCAGTGAGCAAGCACCAGCTTACCTTGCAACATTTCGCCACACGCCACTGGTGTAACATTATGTATTTTTCTCCTAGCAGACAGCTAACCAGACTCAACCTCATCAAGAAAGAAGATAAGTTCTCCTAAAATGCAGCGTACGTGTGTACAGGTTTTTTTCTTCACACAGCTGAGTTAGCTTACGCTATCAGCGCCGGTCGCCTTGCTTTATTTTACAGTCGCTTTTGTATACAGTAAAGCCAAATGGGAGCATAGGCACATACATCTTGTCAAAAGTCTCAGGGAGTACTTGAGAATGATGTATACTCCGGAATGCAGTCTCAACTAGTTTCTTTTCGTGCCGAGGCCACGGACGAGGTGTTAAATGAAGCTGTCATGCGCATCCACCAGGCATTTGTTCTCACGATTTCCAAGTACCGAGTAATGTCAGATCAGGAATGCACCCTACAAGAGTGAAGATTGACGAAATCAGACAGACGCTTTCGCAGACACAGCTGTCTCAGGATGATGTCAATTCCTCGGTCGCACTAAACCGCAAATAAGTCGCAGAAATTGAAAGCAAGGACATCGATATAAAAATTTCAATTAAGACTCTTCAAAATGAGCATCATTATGCGAATGCGGCACTACGTTCCACTTCAGACTCAGCCTACCGTGAATATCCAGTTTGTTCCGTTCTCGAACCAGCAAATATTGTTTTATCTTATCGCATTAATTGCCTTCAGAGGTTTCGATTTCCTTTGTAAAACGCCTTGAACGCTACTTGAAAATCTACAAATTCGAGTCCGGAGAGACATCGATTTGGCCTCAAAATGCAGTGTCGAGCAATGGCGGGAAATAGTGCGTGAATCTGTGTATTCATATGAGCAGTCTAAAGATATAGTAGAGAACACGTTTTGGAACAAACAAGTGCAAAGATTTCTGTGCGCCCAAATGCTTATAAAAATTATTTTCCCCAGTCTTAATGAGATATATCTTATAGCTCATCTCACATCACTTTATGAGCCCAAAGGGGCCACCGTGGCAGAGTGGTTAGCCTGATCACCTCCCACCAAGGCGAACCGGGCTCAATCCCCGGCCGGGTCACCAGATTTTCGCAAGCGGGAATCGTGCCGGACGATGCCATTGGTCGGCGGGCCTTCCTTGGGGATCCCCCGCTTCCCCAGCCCTTGCGCTACAGCGCTGCTCCATACTCACCTACAATCACCCTCATCGGCTCTGAAGACCTCGCTGTTAAGAGCCGGCCAAATCTCTTCACTCACTCAGCGCAGCCCCGAGCGCAAGTAGAAGTTTCCGTGTGATAAATCCTCTGTAAGCGCTACCATGAAATCGTTTATCCCAAACTACTGTACCTCAACATTAAGGCAAAAAGTGCAAGCCCCTCCTGTGCAGAGCCATTAGAATGCACGTGACGCATGCTGCGCTGGAACTTTTCTTGGCGTTGCTGCAAGGAAGAATATCGCCGATATCGCAGACTGCGAGGCAAGACCTCTTTTAACAGCCCAAATATGATAGGTGCATCGTCTCAATAATTTTTTCATATAATAACTATTGTTTATTCTCTTTTAAAACAGCGTCCACGTAATGAAATTTAATGCGTGTGGCGTCTAGCATAACATAATGTTTATTTCGTTATTGATAATACGAGCAAATAAACGCAATAATTTTAAATAATTCTGGAAGCTGTGTTCTATTTATATTTTATTTTTATGTTGATTTAAAAATAAATGGAAAGTTTTAATACTTTACTGACGTCACCAAATTTTTCATCTTTGAAATTGATACTTCGTTTACTGTTGCCATAGTAACGGAACTTTGAACGCGCGCGGCCCTAGCCTATCAATAGGCACAATTGTTTGTGATTAGTTAAAAAAAAAAAGCTGTTTTGTTTTCGCCATCTTGGTCTGCGGTTACCAGTGGAGCTGATGTATTCTTCCTAATAGGGTATTAATTTTGAAATAATTTACGAGTTTCGCACAGTATCAAGGCCAAGAGGATGTGGAAGACGTACTATCAGAAAAATAAACGTAAAAAATCCTTAGTTGGACTACGTGTCCTGTAGATTTTAGGAGGTATATATACACACACACTTGAATAATTATGTCTGTTGTTTTACGGTGGCGGTGAACTATAATGAGCATCAAAAGGCCCGTATGCCGCTGTTGGGGAAGAAGGCGACGGACAGACAAGAACAGAAGAAAACTGCAACTACATCGAGTTTTTATCTGCGTTACGGGGAAAATAAGAGCTAAGTATTTCAACACATCTGCTAAGTAAAAACTTTTGAGTTTCCGAGAAGTCAAGATGTATATTTAAACTGGTATTTTCCTTACCTAGAATTAGTTTTATATTTTGTTCTTCGATGCACCGAATTTAAATAGTTTGAGACCTGCTCACTATTTGTAAACGGTAAATATTGTTTAGTTTGTACAAGTAATTCGGAAACTAATTATTGACAATGATGCTTTTGTAACACTGCAGTACACAAGAGTAATTTTCACAAAACAGTAGCGTGGAACGTGTAGAAGTAATGTTCAATTGTAGCAAGTATGTGTTGAATATTTTAAGTTTATTGTAAACGTTGAGATACATAAAACCGTTTTTAATGTTTTATAAAATTAAGTGTTATAAATTTGTAAAATATCAGGAGTGAAGTTACACGAAACTCTTTGGCCATTAGTTTACAAAGAATTATATTTAACAAGAGCAGAAATATTGTGTATTGTGTAACCGACGGAAAATATGAGAACTGCCATATTAATAAGTGTTTCAGTTTTTTTAATTATTAAATTTTTTCTAAAAATTTTTCAACGGCTAATTACTGGACAAATAAGTCATTTAAAAAACTTAACTATTTGATTTGTTGATTCGTACTCTTGGATTCACTGCTAGATATTATATTTTCAGTTACTTCTGAAAATTTTTTCTTTATTTTTTTTTTTACTTTATTTGTGTATCTTTTTCGTGGTGAGTCGACAGTGTGTAGATCACACACTTCTTCCACAATCCACTACGTTTTCACGTCACGAATGAGATTTTAGCACCCGACTGGGGGGCTCTAACCCACGACCCTGAGGTTAAAAATCTAACGCTCTACCGACTGAGCTGACAGAGAAGTACACTGAGAATTTTATCGGAGTTGCTGCAGGTATGTGTTTTTTCCCCGCTGTCAGAGACTCCAAGATAAAGCCTCTTATTTAAGACAAAATATGATAGGCGATCACAAAAGCCCTACGGCTACTTCAAATGCGCTAATGTAAAGTTAGTGATATTTCTGCAATGAACGTTGCCTTGCAAGATACCCAACACATTTTGACAGTAAGGATCACCTGTATTTCGCAACATTCATTTTATAAAAGTAATTTTCCTCAATTATCATAATTTTTTCAGACTCTTAATTCATATAACCGCATATAGGCTGTTCACGGTAAAATGATCACTTTTGAAAGCCCTGCTAAAGATCTACATGTATGAACGTCGTGTAGTCTTCCGCATTATCTAAAATTAACATTGTCATGGGCCTCATAACTTTATGCATACTCCAGTCAAGTGAACCAGAGCAATTATCACAAAAGGAAATATTTTACAAATCTGCTCATTTTTACACTTCCGTGCATTAAAAAAAAAAAAAAAAAAAAAGCGAAATAAATAATTTAAGTTATCAAAAATGGTTACCTAACACGTTTTATTCGACGTTCAGATATGTAACTACTTTTGCTCCATTGTTACCAACATTACTGGCCGTATGTCACTGAGTACGCCGCTAAAATATATTCAGGTAGGAGCAGCGATTTCTTTCTAAGGTTGTGGGAGCCCGTTGATGCTCAACGGCCCTTTTTTTTCTACTCTATCTTAATCTAAGTGTAATGTGAAATGAAGGCCCAAAAGTAGGGTGGGATTTTATTGAGTCTCAGGGCTAACCACTTACGCTAACAAGGAAGGAAAATCATGCAAGGAGACGTGCATCGCGGCAAAGAGGGTTTGGGCAGCCATGGCCTGCACTTTGCGGCCATGACTACATCCCTAAGTGTACTTAGAGCTAGTCTTAACTATGAAGAGCAAGGGAAAACCCGTCAAGAGAGACGTAACCCAACGGCTCTCTGGGGTTGATGAAGAACGAGATCGTCGGAAGGAAATTAGAGCGGGGGAAGAGGGAGTTCTCCATGAAAAAGAACCCCGCCAGCCAACGACAGCGTCCGCCACGCTAACCACATTCGATAAACAAACGGGTCTTCACTGGGAAATAAGAGCCAGGTTAGCCGTGCTGAAATTCTAGCTTCCTGCGCATATAGATTAACGTTCGAATGAGCGAATAATCTTGGTGTGGTTTTGAAGGAGGGAACCTAGGGGAGGCAATGTAGGGGAGGGCTATCACGAACGCTCCCGGCTGCAGGTAGGGAAACCACGGGACAGCTGACAGTGCTGGCGCTATATGCAGTATTTACAACGATCCGGCGCGTCCTTCCATCCGTTCGTCATCCGTCCGCCAATCACGTGACCAACCTCCAATTAGAGATGGTCATTTATTCTATCCGTCCGTCCATGAAAACCTTGACGGACAAACGGATGAAATTACAGCTTTCTAAACCTGCACGTTTTGTTACTCGTGCATTCCAAATTTTCTGTAGGGTTATGTAGCGCATGCAGTGTTTTGTTTTGGCTGCCTTTGGTTTTCATGTTTGTTTATGTAACAGTAAAATTAGTGTAATCTACATTTTTCCTGAAGAATAATTGATAGTTACGTTTGGAAATACGAGCTCTTTTTGTGCAATAATAAAAATTAATATAAACATACTTTATATGGTATTTAAACTTTTTTTCACATCGATTAAATGCCGTTATGTACGTGTGTGGTGGTTTTGGGTACTTAGAAACACAATACCGCAAAAAAATTTATTTTTTTGGAGAATTTTTTTTCTATTTGTAAACAGTCTTTTTTATTAGTTTGCAGCAATGAACTTACGACAGACGCACGAAGTCCAGTTGTAAATCCCTCGGCTGAAAGACGGACACGTATAACGGACAGGCAGATGACGGACGGACGCGACGGGCTATTGTAAATCCTGCCATACCGACCAAACTGATAACATCGCTCTATATTACAGCGCAGATAAATATCATCGTCGAGACTTACGTATTTTCGACAGGTAATTGTACGCGTGGAGCATCTCTCACCTAAAGGCCATATTTCACGTTACCAGATTTCGTACAAGCTTGTGCAAGGTCTGCCATTGCTGCCATTATACCGGCGTGTATGGCACCCGTCATGGCATTTTTCGCCTGGCGCTGCCAGATTTCGTCACAGGTTTGGTAATAAATTGGACCTGTCTTATTTCCCGTGGCAGGTCCCATACCGGCTCTCGTACCTAGCCAATCACATTGCAGTTTCAGAGCGTAGGGCGCTTCCCGTGGCTACTACTTGAAAAGAGTTGATGAAGAAACCGAAGAGGAAGCCTCCATCTAGATTTTACATCCCTAAAGTTGAAACTCTTTGAAATAGATTTAAAATACGAAGACGAATAATATTGGTTATGATAACTTTCAATTACTGCTTAAAACCGTTCTAAATACTTAAAAAATTACGTACTGTATGAAAAATTTATTTAACTCTTGATATCTACAGTATATAAAATATTCAAAGTAGGAGTGATCTGGTAGTACAGTGGTGAAGTCGTACAGTACGCAAAGAACGTGCAAATCCTGGGCGTGAGCTCGAAACCCCGTCTGACCTAAGCTCTTTTTATCATTAAACTTTACATGTGGATAATATCCCGGTACGTAAAAGAAAAACTACATTTTGGAACAGGTGAGTAATTTTCGTGAATATTAAAAATAACACTCCTGCTCTAAGTGAATTCACTACATTTTCAAGCAAATGAATGAAACTATACTAGTAAGCAATAAATTTATGTAAAAGGCGAACAGTAATACAGCAATATTAAGATGTGCTAGCTAGCACTTTTATAGGCCTACGCAATTGACTAACTGGTAGCAGTTCTACGAATGGGGTTCACCTATACTACAAACCACACACAGCGCACCCACCGAGGGTGCCAAATGCCAGTACGCGAACTGCTGTCGTGTAATATGAATCTTCCATGGCGTCTCATATAGCGGCTGGTATACCGGCTCGTACACAAGGGCTTGTAGAAGCTTGTACAAGAACCAAGTACGGCTGCAGGTATCGTGTAGTATCCGCTTAACAGTACTCGACCGCTGTCACAACTGAACAGAACATCCCCACCCCTTCGTGCATAGACAATGGACTCTCCCGACTCGCCGACGCGTTTTCGGCTCCGGCGCATCGTTTTATAATTGGATTTCACTCTAGTAATTTTTGCGATCGGGCGTCGGCGCCGCAGCGCTTGGATTAATTTAAGCCGCGTTAGGGAGCTCGCTTCTCGCCAAAGCGAACCGGGTTGGATTCGGGGCGCTATCACCCACACTCTCGCGTGTGGGAATCATGTCGGCGGGGTTTTGTCGAGGATCATTCGTTCCTCCCGTCCTTTCATTCCAGCTATGCTCCATACTCACGTCGCTTCACCCTCATCGGCCCTTCAACACTCCGTTGTTAATAGCAGTCCAAACCTCTTCAACTCCAACTGTTGCGTACTGCTTGCCTACTAGCGGTGTACGCCCGTGCTGTAACACAGGTATAGGCTGTTCGCGATAAACTAAGCACTTTCAAATATCTGCATAAGATCTATTTGCAGGCACATTGTGTATTCTTCCACCTTATGTAAAATTAAATTGCCGTGGGCCTCATCACTTTATTCGTGCGTCGGTCGAGTGTAACCGTGAAATAATGATGAAATTAAGTATTTTATAAATTTGCTTATCATTACATTTCATGCATAAAAAAAACAAGAAATAAAAGAAATAGTTTCAGTATTCACAAATGTTTCCTTGACACTTTTAATTCAATGTCAGGACAGTGAACTACTTTTCCTCCTTCGTTACCAACCTCACTGGCCACATTGCACTCATTGTGCCCGTTGAACTATATGCAAGTTGAGGAAGTGTCATTTTTCAGAAGTTGATTTCAAAAGTTCTCACTTTATCGTGAACAGACTTTACACTACGAGTACACAATTTTGTAATCAATTTTTTTTTTTTTTTTTAATAACGTACAAGTTAAACCCTTGCAGTAAAATCCACAGTAATTTTGGCAGTTTACAATAAAACTTAATTCTATGGATTAACGTCTTATTCAAAAAAAGAATTTTATTTGGTGGCCTATAAGATAGTTTTTTTATTTGTTTCCTTTTTCGTTTTTTGCATACGTTACGAATTACGTGACTTGTAATTCGTGAACTGAGAACGTGTAAAGTTAAGGTTTATACATGGAGGAAGAGAGGAAGCATAAATAATGATTAAAGTGAAATAAACAGAAAAGGGCTCTCTAAATGTCTCGGTCAATTGTAAAAACAACCCACGCAGCCACGCACCAGGACCGGCAGGGCCGCGCTTATCTTCATTGTTATTTTCACAAGTCAAAGCTATTCGCGGTCAAATGAAAACTTTTGAAAGCCCTGCTTAGGATCTACTTATATACACTTTGTGTATCATTATCCTTTATGTGAAATTAACATCGCCATGGGCCTCATATCTTTATTCATGCATCGGTCAAGTGAAACTGTGAAATTATTAGAAAAGACATTTTTTTTTTTTTTTTACAAATCTACTCATTTTTACACTTCGGTGCATTAAAAAAAGCCAAAGAAAAAATAACTTAATTGATCACAACTAGTTCCCTAAACACTTTTTCTTTGACGTTAATATCGATCCATCCAACTAAGAACATCTTAACTGCAAAATGGAAAATGTTCAGGAGAGCAGTTTAAAGTTATGAAAAATTTGTTGTAAATCGGATTGATTTTCGACATCTGTATTTACAAATTACAGTATAACATCTCTGGCAAAGACTTGCGTACATGCTATCTCATATTTTAATTTTGTCCGTTAACCATTTTTTTCGAGTAGATACGGTGTTATAATATTGGAAAACTCCATTTAATATCATCGTAACTTAAGTTACGATGTTCTTAATGGGAACTGTATTAATTTATAACATCTTAACTCATGTTTATTTTGCATTGATGGGCAATTTGAAT